ATTTTGTAAAATAGTTAGTAATATTTTGTACAAATACCATTAACAATATTTTATAAAATACAGTTAAACATATTTATTAATAACTTTTTTACAGTACAATTATCACTATTTATGATATTTTTACAGTACAGTTAATAGTATTTAGTAATATTTTTAAAATATAGTTAACAATATTTTATAATACAGTTGACAGTATCTGGTAATAATGTTTTCAATACAGTTATCAACAGTTGTGATATCTAAAAAAAAATACAATTAACAATATTTCTTGTGCTATTTTGTCGTTTTATTATTTTGTACAATAGAATGAAGTGTGAAAATTTTGAGAGGCAAGCCAAACAGATAGCCCATTGTGCAGCTTGGCCCTTAACAACAAGCATACTTATTACTAACAGTACTGGTTATGACGTCACTGTAAGTTGTATAAACATTTTATTCTATTCCGCTCATTTCAGAAACATCCTTGTTAGAAATTCTTACTGTTACACCTCGCACTTTCTCATATTTGTTAAAAATTCTTTCACCTGGAGTAAACTGGATCACGATATAAGAAATTCGATGATCCGAGCACTCTCGGAAAGTGTATACCCTCCTTCTTCTTCAGGGGTGGGTTTTTGATCCATCTTCTGAAAGCTCTCAGGTTTTTTGAATTGTCATTTATCTATTTTTGACGCAGTGGTCTTAGAATTATTCAATAACTACATACTCTTAGCTAAGATCATCTCGTATAATCAAACCAGGGAGATAAAGAAAAAGACGTGACAAAACTCGGAAAAATGTTCCTCAAAAGTGAGGATGATAAGGGTCGATCGTAAGTGGGTTTAGTTACATGTTCTGGAACGAACACTGAGGGACAAGTTAAGGTTGCTTGATATTATAGAATAAACAAGATAATGGTAGCTCTTTAAACAGGGATTCTGCTATTAAACGAAAGGTCTCCTTGTGGGAAACAGAAGACGGGCCTGAACTGCTGTTTCTATTCACCTGTGATTTATAAAACATTTTATGCTTACCTTTCTCTCTACGTACTTTATATTTACATATCTACCGTTCTGTCTATCTGTTGTACATTTATATATCTATCGTTCTTTCTATCTGCTTTACATTTATATGCTTCCCTTTTTGTTCATCTACTCTATATATATACGTTTATGTTTTTCTATTTCTTCTGTATGTTTATCTTTCTATTTGTTTTCCATTTGTAATTATACGTTTACCTTTCTGTCTATCTACTTTATATTTATTTGTTTCTGTTTTTGTCTTTCTACCGTATATATATATTATCTTTCTTTCTATCTACTCTCTCTCTCTCTATATGTTTATCTCTTTGTGTGTATTTATACTTTGTATCAGAACATTTATCTTCTATACGTTACGATATTTTACATATTCTTCAATAGGTTCTATTGTAAAGTTTACACAACTAACTGTTACAATAGAATCTCAGAAAAAGTAACACAAGGTATTTCCATATTCAAATTGATGGATAGCTTACGCACACATAGACTAAACAGTCTAAGTTCAAAAGATAATTTTAGTTATACAAAAATCGTTCTAAATGGTATGGTCCGATTATACTCCTAAACAGAATTTGGCTCTAGACGTACGTGATGAAATTCTGTAATTCATAGTCACTAAACCTACTCCGCCCCCTGACGTTTTGTTTGTTAAAACAACAGAAATTCCGATAGACTCTAACAATTCCGAGTGGTTAACATGAAAAGATAAAGGTGTGGCGAAAACTGCCTTGGAGAATGTGGCTAAGTAACAAATGGACGTCTACTGGTTCAGTGCTGTCAATTTGGTAGACCAGTTGTTTGGAAAAGTAAAATAACGAACCCCTACCTTGAGCATTAAGAGGCCAGGGAAGAAAACTGTAAAAACAAGGAACCCTAGCTGTACACGAGTAGGCAAAAATATCATTAAAAAATACTCCTGTCTTAGTAGGATAGAGATAGTGATTAAAACTGTGTAATCAAAGAACTAATCAGATTGGTGTTAGTGGCAGTAGATTAAAATCCACAAATGAACAGTGTTTTATAATACACAATTAAAATCATTATTGTAACAGATTAACGGTTGTAAAAGTCACTCTACAGAAACATCCTCATTATTAAAACCGATAATCGGTTGTGAAAGTCACTCTACATGTTTCAATGTGGTTTCACATATCCTCAGTTCCTTGAATTTTAACCTTTTAATATTTAGTGGCAGAAGATTAAGAAAAAACAACAACAAAGATTTTCCTGACAACTTTTATAAAATGCGTAAAAAAATCACATTCCACCATATGTTAGTTAGAAGGTTTGAAGATAGTGAATTATTCTTGTCACGTCAACTGCAGAAGACGAAGTAACAATAGGGTAATAGTTCGAATTCCAATGGAGAATTATTTACTTATTTCAATCTTCTAAAGTGCTATTTCCTGCCGCTAGATGGAAGCAGGTGTATTTCAATTTTGTTTGTTTGTAATTAAGCACAAAGCTGCACAATGGGCTATCTGTGCTCTGCCCCCCACGGGTATCGACACCCGGTTTCTAACGCTTTAGTTCCGCAGACATGCTGCTGGGGGGGGGGCGTAGTTCCATTTGACGGCTCATAAAAATTAAAGAAATCACACCTGATTGTTACATTAAAAGTATTATGAAAATAACAACTACACTTGTACAGCTTGATTTTTTTTTATACATCATTGTTTTCGTGTCTGAGTTTTTAAAACCATGATATTATTTCAGCTGCCAAATTAATCACATTAGGCCTACATTTTGTCCCGACTGGTGATCAGCCAATCACACAGGCCTGTGAATTTAAACTTCATAAAAATTGTTCTGGTTTTAATAACGGATTTTCCATAATTCAGCTACGCAGATTTCGAAAATAATATTCGTTTTTTTCTATTACCTAAAGATTTTTTACAGGTCGGGAAGTAAAGAAAACTCTTACTTAGATCAAATTATTATTTCGTTTACCACAATAAACATTTTTTTATTATTATATTTGTTAACAAACGAAGAAAATGGAAGAACATTGGTGTCAAACGAATATGCATCCTCATTCATTCTGATTATTTTAGTGAAATTTACGTCTTATAGTCTCAAAACTACGTCTTGTGGTCTTTCTTTTATGTGTTGCGTTTTGACGTCGTGTGAAAAATCTGTACGTGATGGAGAAAAATGGATATTATTTTCGGATTCAACATACAAGAATTACTGTAGAACGTGTACAAATTTCAAAACAATAAAACCATCCCAGGCCTGTGTAATTAATGTTTCCGCATAGACGTTTATTATGATTAAACTTGATTTTCTATTAAATTTCCAATAGGAAAGTTTCACAGCAACATAACAATATTGTAGAATATACATTACACATTAATAGAAGTTCCAGCTGATTATTCTTACCAGATGTAATAAACTTCATAGTTAGGCCTAACTTGGAATATTGTGTACAGTTTTATTCGCTTTACCTAAGAAACGATATCGACTTATTAGAAAGGGTTCATAAGAGGGATTCCAGGATTTTTCCAGGGATGGATGGATTATTTCATAGGGATAGGTTAAAACACCTCAACTTATTTCTTCTTAAGAAAAGAAGGGTAAGAGATGACCTTATTGAAGTCTGAAAGATATATCCAGGGTATGAACAGGATAATTTTTTTTGATGAAGACAAGTTTAAGATTTGTAAAAGACAGGCTTGGCTCCATTTAGACAGTTTTACTTTCTAATAGGGTGATTGGCTTATGGGATGAGTTTTAATTGGTAGTAGTGGAGGCCGGCACTTTACAAGAGCATAAAAGGAGAACTGATAATTCTCTGATAAAACGTGAGGTGGGTTTAAGTCTTTACTTAAAGGTAAGATACTCAAACGTGGGCATGTAGAGACAGCCTTGGAAGGCCAGATGGTCCCCTGTTGTCCACGTGTTATGGTTTTTACTGGCATTACTTGAGATTCTATTGGCATTGCTTCTTTGTAATGATGAATGACCAATGGAACAGTATCGTGTTTTCTATTATTTTAGCCTAACATGAGCAGTTAAATTTTTTTTTTTTTAAATTAAATAATTTATACGGGTTAAAGGGTAGCAATTTTCATTTAATCATAAAACTCGAAAACAAAGACAAACTACAAAACGTATGTGCAAAGTTTGTTCTTATATCTTCTTGATTGTTTAGTGTTCCTAACCATAACTTTTTGTGGAAATGTTTTTTTTACATTTTAACTTGGAAATAAAATGCCAAGTACACAGAAAATGAACTATGTCCATCACGGGGAATCGGGTCCCAGATTTTAGTATTGCAAATTCGTTAACTCACCGCTGACTCTCTGGGGCTTTGGTGAGGGCAATTAAATGTTTTGTTTTGTTTCTCAAGCTTCGTTTGAGCTAGTCTTCCCTAAATTTGAAGTGATAGAGTAGAGGGAAGGCTGCTAGTCAACAGCACCCACCACCAACGTTTGGGCTATTCTAATTAAATAATAGGATATAATCATCATTTTTAGAAGGCACTCACGATTCCAATGAACGGAGCGCGATTTTGCGGCAACGGGACGTGAACCATGGACCATCAGGTCTCTGGGACGTCAATCACTAACTCACGTTCAGCCCCCCAAACACACATACAAAAAGACTTTTAATTAAGAAAATTACAATACATACTATGATCCACACCGATCATTTTAATCCGGATAATCCAAACGTTAGAATCCACCTATCTCCATTCTCAGCGAGACAGTAGAGGGCGCTCAATCATTGAGATTGAGACTGGGGAAGAAAAGAGGGGTTGGGACTCCCTATGGCAACGTCTCAAGCCAGCGATTTCCTGGGCCTCGCCCGCTGCACCTGAGAGCCACTCAGCGCGCGACTTGTTGCGATATTATTCAGTTATCTCCCGGGATATTAGAATATTGTACCCAGCAGATCGGGTTTTCTACTGCCGCTGGGTACAGTATACACAGAGGTCCTCGAGCTGTTGAGATCAGAATAGCATTCTCTGATCCAAAATATACACTCTTTGTTTCCTCCCGTCCGGTGTGTAGTGGTGGTTCCCCGACACACAGGGGAGCAACGACTGGCGGTGTACCTATCCTTCCGTAGTTTGGAAGCTCTGGTGTACTTCGTAGCGCAGGAAGCTCGTCGTACGAGTAAACGTCCACTGTCATTGCTAACAATAGGAAATGACTTCAGTTTACGGCATTTACTTTGCCGTAGTCGTGTAGTGAGAGTCGTATGTTAGCAAGGAATACCGCTCCTGGTTTTTTAATGTACTAACACTTCATTTGAGTGCTGAACCCGAGCAACAGAAGCTATTGATTTGACTGAAGGGAGAAAGAGAGAAAAAAGTCCTTACCACAAGGACTAGCAAATCACAAATAAACCGCGTGTCACCATATTGTGTGTTTCTTGACCAAATGTAAGATCTCGGAAAAGAAACTGGCTTTTTTTCTTCAGTTCACCACGCTGAATTAATAGCTTATCCATCCATTAACTAAACGTCAACGACCGGGACCAGTTTGCCAACCCAACATCCTCTACGACTGGTTGCATCCAGAAGTAGTTTCATATTTAAACCAGGTAAGAAGCAAACTTCTTCGACTCTTTCTTGTAAACTAGAGAACCATTTCGATAAATATATATAAAAAAAAAAACTTTGAGCGTTAGAACGACGAGTGGCAACTTGTTGTTGTATTACTGAATGACGTATATAGAGGGGTATTTTGTCATTATCATTATTATTATTGATAAATAACGTTACTTGGACCTATCTGTCTCTTACTTCGAACCACTAAGATTTAGAAAAAAAAATACTTTGTCGTTTATTTTATTATTATTTTACTTTTTAAGGCGTGTAGCACTCACTAATTTAAGGCTTAGTTTTAAATTAATTATCTTACAGCGGTTGTGTTTATGGATACGACTTCCAGAACAATAAGACGCAGCTAAAGATATAATGTGAGCAATATAGATATTCGATTCTATCAAAAGTAAAATTATTACACAAAAACTTTTGTACATTTTCTTACCCATCTCGTTTACCCACTAAAGAAGCAAATATTACAATCATCTTCCCTGCCTTTGCCCCCGTTTAAAGCACCAATGATGAATCGATTTCTTCTTTTATGTGTATATGTGTGATTTAACTAATCTTATACTACGGTATTTTGTTCAACTGTGGCTCGGTGATAAGTCTGAAGGCTTACAATGCTAAAAAATATGGGTTCGATACCCGTAGAGGTGGGCACATACACCATTGAGTAGCTGTGTGCTTAAAAGCAAACAAATCCTCTAAAGATAAAATAATTAATTTCAACCACAGATTAATAAAGAAAACACAGAACTTTAGAGTTGGTATTGTAATGACTGACACGACTGAAGTTCAATAAACGTCTTTTAATGTGTATCCTAGGAACACATGTTGTCAATAACGATAAAAAGTTTACTAACGTAATTAGCCATTTTAAGTTAGATGATTTAAAGTAAGAAAGAACGATAAGGTCGGATGCAGCATCGTATACAATTCTAAGACTTTTTTCTGTCCAAAACACGGATATCTTCTTGTGATATCAACACAAAATAGTAAGAGGGATCGTATAAGCTATAAGTCCTCAAGCTATACAGTTGTCTACAGTTAAACCTTCAAACTGTGTCAAGATATACGACTATTAGTATTCAAACCTTCAAACTGTGTCAAGATATACGGCTGTCAGTATTCAAACCTTCAAACTGTGTCAAGATATACGACTGTCAGTATTCAAACCTTCAAACTGTGTCAAGATATACAACTGTCAATATTCAAACCTACAAACTGTGTCAAGATATACAACTGTCAGTATTCAAATCTTCAAACTGTGTCAAGATATACAGCTGTCAGTATTCAAACCTTCAAACTGTGTCAAGATATACGGCTGTCAGTATTCAAACCTTCAAACTGTGTCAAGATATACAGCTGTCAGTATTCAAACCTTCAAACTGTGTCAAGATATACAACTGTCTGTATTTAAAGCTTCAAACTGTGTCAAGATATACGGCTGTCAGTATTCAAACCTTCAAACTGTGTCAAGATATACAACTGTCAGTATTCAAACCTTCAAACTGTGTTAAGACATACAACTGTCAGTATTCAAACCTACAAACTGTGTCAAGATATACAACTGTCAGTATTCAAACCTTCAAACTGTGTCAAGATATACAACTGTCAGTATTCAAACCTTCAAACTGTGTCAAGGTATACAACTGTCAGTATTCAAATCTTCAAACTGTGTCAAGATATACAGCTGTCAGTATTTAAACCTTCAAACTGTTTCAAGATATACGGCTGTCAGTATTCAAATCTTCAAACTGTGTAAAGATATACAGCTGTCAGTATTCAAACCTTCAAACTGTGTCAAGATATACAACTGTCAGTATTCAAACCTTCAAACTGTGTCAAGATATACAACTGTCAGTATTCAAACCTTCAAACTGTGTTAAGATATACAACTGTCAGTATTTAAACCTTCAAACTGTGTCAAGGTATACAACTGTCAGTATTTAAATCTTCAAACTGTGTCAAGGTATACAACTGTCAGTATTTAAACCTTCAAACTGTGTCAAGATATACAACTGTCAGTATTTAAACCTTCAAACTGTGTCAAGGTATACAACTGTCAGTATTTAAACCTTCAAACTGTGTCAAGGTATACAACTGTCTGTAGTCAACCATTTAAAATATTTTCTAAACTTTTAACACGGGAGGTGAAATCCTGTAACTTACTAGTTATATCATAGTTTTTACTCTTTTTAAAGTGAAGAAAGTTCTATGGAAAAACTGACACACTTAATGAGAACAGTCTTTGTGAGTTATGGCTTAGAGCGATGGTATTTAACAATTAATTTATGTTATTCCTTAATAATGGCAACAATAGTTGTGATTTATGGCTTAGTATGATGGTTTTTAAGATGTCACTTTATGGCAACAATATTTTTTAGTTACGATTTAGTTGGAAAGTGATTAACACTTTAGTTTTAGATTAATGCTATTTATGGTTTATTGCTTTATACAGTTAATTTGTATTAATCACCTGCATGAAGATGCTCTTCTCCTAAGGTAAAAGAAAGTTTTCGCGGTGTTGTAGAATTTTTCTTTCTGCTTGGTAAATTGCTAGAGTCAAATTTTCTTGCTGGTGACCCAAGTCTTGTATATATTTTGTTCTTTTTTTTAAAATATTTTTATTGACCAAAGTTTACCATATATATATATTAGTTTTTTATATTGATATTATTATTTAAAATATTCCCTCTACCTGAAGAAAATAACACAATCTTTTGTCCCACAAGAGAACAAAAATATTGCAAATTATGTAGGGTTGACAGGGAAGCCGGAAACACACATATTCCATTTTAGGTCTAAGTAAAAACATAAGTATGAAAGTATTTCTATTTTTAACCGCTAGGTGTACGAAAAGCGAGGGAGTGGGGGTGGGATTATGATACATTTGTTTTTTAATACGAAGATACACCTTAAAGGTATCTATATACATCCATGAAAGCAGATCTGGTCATAGGTACTTCGAATTGTGTGTTATGTTAAAGAAATTGTGAATAAAAAAATTAAAGAAAAATACGGCTTTTTCGTTTTATTCTTTTATTTGTCCGCAAACTTTTTTATCTTTTTATTTGTGGCAGGTGATTAGTCTTAAAAGGAAAGGAACTTTCCTCAACTCTGGTGTTTAAGAATATTAGTGTTCCCCTTCATGATGAATACGTTTATCTAGAGTGGGCTCTTAATAACTGTGATAGCAAGGGGGTTTTTGATTAATAGTTCGTGGGCTGAGATTATTAAATTAGGAAGGGATTTAAGATTTTAGTTGTGATTTAAATTTTTCAGGGAGAACTGGTAAAGGCAGAGATGGCGTAGCCAAAGCCGAGGCGGACTTCCTGGATTTCAACAATTTGTTTGTTGTTAAGCGCAAAACTGCACAATGGCTATTAGTGCTATGCCCACCACGGAAATCGAAACCCGGGTTTTAGCGTTATAAGCCTTTATAATTACCACTGTGACTCTGGTAGGGGAGACTTTTTGTTTTGATACTTTAGGTCTAAAGACGGAACGAAAAGGAAAATTTACAGAAATAGCGTTGGCAGGAATTATTGTTTCCTCGCATTTTTGTCCACTAGGGGGCGCATATTGACGACAGTCAGTTCTGTGAATTTCGTCCGTAATTAGAAAGAACGGACAAGACCAGGCTTCTCGTATTGTAAACAATGCAAGTAAAATTTTTAATTAGTTTTGCCGGTCAGATCTTCACACATATTTTTCAAAAATTGAATTATTTCATTTTGCTTCAAAAAGTTATTGAGTTAATGAACTTTTTCTGATCTAGAAAAAATAGAATAACATATGTATTTCTTTAACTATATTGTGCTCCAGGACACAGCCTGAAGAGGATCTGAAGTATTAATTGATTACATTAATAATACTCTGTTGAATAATAATAATTGTAAGTTTCTTAAGTTGCTGACTTGAAGCTGCTACCAGGAAGTTGATTGGCTTGCTTTTATACCTGTGTTTAATATATCTGCGCCCACGTCACCCCCAGTGTGAATTTATCGAAGCCGAAGGGTAGAGAGAGAAAATATGCTGCTATTGTTATAATCTAGAAGCTAATGGTTGGTAAGTTTACTCGGCTTACCACAAATCGACATCTTCCCGAACAGTAGGTTTGCCTTTGTCTTCTAGGCTACTTCATCAGTTAAACCGAACGCTCTCCGCTAGGGGTCAGACATATGCGGGCATCATTCTTGACTGGCAATGTTCTCCTGAATAATCTCAAGCAAGTACTCTATCTAACGAATAAAAGTGACTCTAGCTGACAAAAAAAATGTTTTCTAAAGCAGATAAATTATAAATCAAAAGAATTCTGTAAAGTTAACTTGTCTGTTTTACCTCAATAGCTTACGTTATGTTTACATTTGTAGTTTAGCCTCGTGCGTTCCTAGTGGTTAGAGGGCTCGGATTGTGGGTTCTGGGGTTTTCGTTGCGTTGCCACAAAAACACGTTCCGCATTTTGGGGAATTGAAAACTATTAACCGGTTTTGCAAAGACCATAAAAATAACACCCTAATCACCCTTTTTAGGTTCAAGGACAGTCATGTCTTTTCGGTAAAGTTCCCAATAAAAGGATTCCACCAAGTGATTGAGACTTCTGGATTAATCAATTTTTTATACTAGAAACAGCAAAGAGGTAGCAGCAAAATAACTTGAAATACACAGATAAGGAGAGAAAAATACCTGCTGTTTTCGTAAACTTGAGATTGTAAAGTGACGATCAAATCCTACTATTCTTTTAGACATGACTTAGCAGTGATTGCTATTCTTGTCGTCAAGAACCTGAAAATGAAGTACGAGTTTTACACTTTTACTGCGTGCTGTAAAGCTACGATACAATGAATGCCAGACGATAGATTATTACATTTTCACTTTAAAAACTCCATAAGAATCTCTCATCACCACCAAATAAATGTCGACTGGCACTGATATCTCGTATCTATCAGTTCAAAATTAGGCATAGCAAGCAGACAGTTCTTGCATGAAA